TACCTTTGCAGCAGTTTCTGTGTGTGAGTTTTTGTGGTAGAATTCTACGGCAACTACGTACTCTCCTCTCTCATCCTTTTTGCTCCATTCCTAATCTCCAATTTTCTTTTCTTTTTTGAGGTTTGGTTGTACCAGCAATTTTACTTACAGCTTTGAGTTTTTTTGACTGCGAGCAAACTGCATTCGTTGTGGTGTTAATGTGTTTAGCAGCTTCCTTTCTTTCTTTGAACTTTGTTGGTTTAATGGTGAATATGTTTGATATTTCCCCGACACATGGTGGACAAATTATGACAGTTAGTAACACTATAGCTAACTTTCCAGGCATTTTAACACCATATACTGTAGCTCAATTTACACCTAATGTAAGTATAACTAATATAGCTGGTATTTTAACACCATATACTGTAGCTCAATTTACACCTAATGTAAGTATAACTAATATAGCTGGTATTTTAACATCATATACTGTAGCTCAATTTACACCTAATGTAAGTATAACTAATATAGCTGGTATTTTAACACCATATACTGTAGCTCAATTTACACCTAATGTAAGTATAACTGATATAGCTGGTATTTTAACACCATATACTGTAGCTCAATTAACACCTAATGTAAGTATAACTAATATAGCTGGTATTTTAACATCATATACTGTACCTCAATTTACACCTAATGTAAGTATAATTGATATATCTAGTATTTTAACAGCATATACTGTAGCTCAATTAACACCTAATGTAAGTATAACTAATATAGCTGGTATTTTAACACCATATACTGTAGCTCAATTAACATCTAATGTAAGTATAACTAATATAGCTGATATTTTAACACCATATACTGTAGCTCAATTTACATCTAATGTAAGTATAACTAATATATCTGGTATTTTAACACCATATACTGTAGCTCAATTAACACCTAATGTAAATATAACTAATATAGCTGGTATTTTAACATCATATACTGTACCTCAATTTACACCTAATGTAAGTATAATTGATATATCTAGTATTTTAACACCATATACTATAGCTCAATTTACACCTAATTTAAGTATAATTGATATATCTAGTATTGTAACAGCATATACTGTACCTCAATTTACACCTAATGTAAGTATAATTGATATAGCTAGTATTTTAACACCATATACTGTAGGTCAATGTACACCTAATGTAAGTATAATTGATATATCTAGTATTTTAACACCATATACTGTAGGTCAATTTACACCTAATGTAAGTATAATTGATATATCTAGTATTTTAACACCATATACTGTAGGTCAATTTACACCTAATGTAAGTATAATTGATATATCTAGTATTTAAACACCATATACTGTAGGTCAATTTACACCTAATGTAAGTATAATTGATATATCTAGTATTGTAACAGCATATACTGTAGGTCAATTTACACCTAATGTAAGTATAATTGATATATCTAGTATTGTAACACCATATACTGTAGGTCAATTTACACCTAATGTAAGTATAATTGATATATCTAGTATTTTAACACCATATACTGTAGGTCAATTTACACCTAATGTAAGTATAATTGATATATCTAGTATTGTAACAGCATATACTGTAGGTCAATTTACACCTAATGTAAGTATAATTGATATATCTAGTATTGTAACAGCATATACTGTAGGTCAATTTACACCTAATGTAAGTATAATTGATATATCTAGTATTTAAACACCATATACTGTAGGTCAATTAACACCTAATGTAAGTATAATTGATATATCTAGTATTTAAACACCATATACTGTAGGTCAATTTACACCTAATGTAAGTATAATTGATATATCTAGTATTTAAACACCATATACTGTAGGTCAATTTACACCTAATGTAAGTATAATTGATATATCTAGTATTTTAACACCATATACTGTAGGTCAATTTACACCTAATTTAAGTATAATTGATATATCTAGTATTTAAACACCATATACTGTAGGTCAATTTACACCTAATTTAAGTATAATTGATATATCTAGTATTTTAACACCATATACTGTAGCTCAATTTACACCTAATGTAAGTATAACTAATATAGCTGGTATTTTAACACCATATACTGTAGGTCAATTTACACCTAATGTAAGTATAACTAATATAGCTGGTATTTTAACACCATATACTGTAGCTCAATTTACACCTAATTTAAGTATAATTGATATATCTAGTATTGTAACACCATATACTGTAGGTCAATGTACACCTAATGTAAGTATAATTGATATATCTAGTATTTAAACACCATATACTGTAGGTCAATTTACACCTAATTTAAGTATAATTGATATATCTAGTATTGTAACACCATATACTGTAGGTCAATTTACACCTAATGTAAGTATAACTAATATAGCTGGTATTTTAACACCATATACTGTAGCTCTATGAACATCTGATGTCATATAAAACCGTAAGCATACCGTTCGAAGGAGCTAGATACAGATTTATCATTACTACAGCGCAAGAGGTTTGGTGTTTAAGAAGCCTCTTCAGTCAGACATTAGAAAAGAGTAAATTAATTTACCTTATTACACAGTAAAACATTCCCAATATAGGAATAGAATCAATCAAAATCACGAGACATCGATTATATTTTCAGAATACTAGAGAACAGTGGCAGAAAATGTTCTTTCTTACTGCTGGAATTCTAACGTTTGGTGCGCTTTGTTTTGTTGTTTTTGGAAAAGTTACGGTGGAGAAATGGTCAGTACCTACAGAAAAGAAAGAAGAAGCTATTGGTCTGAGCTGTGTGGTTGAAAATGGTGAGATTACTGAAAAGAACTACACTCCTGA